GAAATAAGGAATGGATCAAAATGACAAGGCCTTAGCCTTTTTTGGATGTCCCTCTATAAACTCAATGACATACCTTGACCAAAATTACGCAGCTAGAACAGCCAAATCAAATTCAGCTTCTATTATTAATTGATAAGAACCAGGGATCAGGTGAAAGTGAATAGACTTTAGAACATGCATAACATCTTAACTCGGTATCAGTCATTTAAACTAAACTACATACACAACCAGTCGATACATTAACATGTACATGGCATGCACATACATGTAGTTACATGCACCACTTACTAGTTTACTGTCTCCTAGAGCATGATGAATTCGTGCAATAACTCTATATATAATAATACAATGGAATATATAAGTACTTGAATGACACCACTCACTTATAACAGTTTGCTATGTTGACATGTAGTGGCCCAAAGACTTGAGCAAACAATTGCACAGCTTCAGATAGATAGTCAAGAGCAACTTCAATATTACCAGACTGCAACTGAACCTGAGCCAACTCATACAAACCAGAGGCTTCAAGAGGCTGGGGGGATTGAGGGAAAGAAAATTTAAGATAAAAAGAAAATTAGAAATACAATGAAATTGTTGAAGATTGAAGTACACATACATGTAAAAGACATAATACACCATCGATCTGAAAATTTTTCACTGTGATTTTAATTTCACTGGATTAGAATTCCAAAAAAATTAGATCACCTATATAATTATATGCCACATTCAATAATACATGACAAAGTCTTATTTGGTAAAATTAAATAACAGCATCATTTAAAAACACAAAAGTTTCTACCACATAAATTCCCTAAACTACGGTATATATTGTGTAGCAAAAGTGACAGTACAAAGCAGTAATAAATGAAGTTTTGTCTCACTTTAAAATCAGTGTGCTTAACAACAGGTACAATACAGGCAAGATCACCTTCATTGAATGGAGCAGTCAAGGAAAATTTGTAATCCTTCAATGTAATCTGTACTCCTAATAAGGGGTGCAGTCAATGAATATTAATGAGGTATGATGCCATCTAACCTGTTTTGTTACAGAATTCCCTGAGAAGAGAGACTTTGCAAACACCACAAGTAGTACACATGAGAGTTACAGAATTACTAGAGAAAGAGATAGACATTTAAGTACATGTACATCATTAATGTTCATTCATGTAAATTTGATGAGAAGGTGTCAAGTCTGCACACAAAAAAGGACTTGAGATCCTTGACGGTACCTACAAATGGAACACAAAAATGTAAAATTAGATCAATAATGATTGAAATTAATCTTAAAAACGGTTAAATGAAGTGACAAAAGGCCAAAACGCCATATTAGGTTCTGATATAGCTCCACCCACCTCCTCTGCTCCATTTAGAATGATATCTGGTTCCTGCTGCTTATCTAATGAGAATATGATCCAAGCAGATCAATTCACACTCACTCCTTTATTACAGTCACCTGCAACTTTCCCTCCATTTTTAGTACACATTCTATTAGTGTCACCATCATTGGTATCATCATTATCAGTAGTGGTGGTGTTGGTTGATTCTAATGCCAGTATCATTGTCAGTAGTTTTTCCAGTGCTAATAATGTTGGTTGATGATATCGTGTGATAAGAGCTGGGGAATGCTTGCTGTATAGAGAGAAAAGCAGTTCATCAAACTTTATATGGAACATAAGTACATGTATATGTATCAGAAAAAATTATAAAAATGGAGAATTCTTATCTTTTCATTTTTGGCAAAATTTGGCCAAAATCACTGTACAATTATAGTACAGGTACTTTAGTCAGATTTTGGAGAAACTTTAAAAATTCATTATAAATCCAATCTTGATCGGAATTAACTCAAACTTTCTACACAACATAAGAACATGTACAATGCATATGCATCAGAAAATAATTAGTAAA